AAAATAACTTAAAAAAAAAAAAAAAGAAAAGAAAAATGAGTGGATACACTGCCTCCCTGACAAGCACAAGGTCTTGAGTTCAATTCCCAGTACCGAAAACAGTCAGTGGGGCTGGGCATGGTGGTGCCTCTAACCCCAGCACTTGGGAGGCTGAGGCAGGACGTTCGCTGTGAGTTTTATACTAGCCTGGGCCACATAGTGACTTCAAGGCCAGCCTGGACTACACAGCAAGACCCTGGCTCAAAAACAAAGAAACAAGCAAACAAAAAACCACAGTGGCTAAGTGGTGGCAGATGCCTTCCAGGCCAGCCTGGGTGACTCTGGGGCAACACCAGTTGCCTACCACACTTTAGGTCCCGGGTTTAATCTTCCATAACACACATGCACATGCATGCGTGCACGTGCACACACACACTTAACAGCCAGCTCTAATTAAAAGAGAAAATTAGTAAAATGGAAGCAAAGGCCAAATGTGCTATCCAGAATGAAGTACGAAAAAAAAAGAGAGAGAGAAATCACAGGACACAGGACAATGTTTTAGCATGTGTTTATAGATTCCCAAAAAGCCAACTGCTGAAATCCAAGCAGGATAAATTTTTTTTTTTTTTTTTTTTTTTTTCAGAACCAGGGATTAAACTCAGGCCCTTGCACTTGCTAGGGAAGCGCTTATTCCACTGAGCCGTCTCCCTGGCCCCGTTTTTGTTTTTTTGCAAGGAGATAAATTTTAAGAGTCATATACAGACATGTATGATAGACTAAAGAAAACTAATAAAACAAAGAATTGCTTCTCCAGCCTGAGCTTCCTGCTGCTGGGCCATCCAAGGGAGCCGACATTGCCGTTTTCCTAGCGATTCAGTCTGACACACGACCCCTCTCGCGACATCATGGTGGCCTCCTGGCGACAGGCTGGACTCAGCTACATGCGCTACTCCCAGATCTGTGCAAAGGCAGTGAGGGATGCCCTGAAGACAGAATTCAGAGCAAATGCAGAGAAGACTGCTGACAGCAGCATCAAAATTGTGAAAGTGAGAAAAGAATAACCAGCCCTGACTAGAGCTTGAAATGCTACATTTTCACCCTGAAATGTGTGGGCGGGGCCAGGGAGATGGCTCAGTGGAATAAGCACTTCCCTAGCAAGCACAAGGGTCTGAGTTCAATCCCCGGTTCCACCAAAAAAAAAAAAAGATGTGTGGGCACATGTTATGGCAGATTGTAACCCATGTCACTTTGTGAGGGGAAAAAGTACCAATCTTATTCATAAATTAATGATACCAATAAATTGATGCATGGTTCACTGTTAAAAAAAAAAAAAAAAAAAAGAATTAGTCCTCAATAGACATGCCTTAAAGAAATATTAAAGGATATCTTTTAGGTGAAAGAGGATTCTAGATGGCTGTACAGAAATGTAAGGAAGTAAGAAGGAACTAACAACAAATTTAAATGAGCTTATTGAAAATTTAATGATTTAACAAATATTTAAGATAAAATATATAATGAAAATAACCCAGGTCAGATGAGATACATGTAGTCAGTATTGGGGGCCAGGGAGCTAGCTCAGTAGAATAAGTGCTTCCCTGCCAAATGCAAGGTCCTGAGTTCAATCCCTGGTACTACAGAAAAAGAAAAAGAAAAAAAAAAAAAAAACAAGCACGTAGTCAGTATTGTCAGCGGCCAGCATTGCCTGGAGTCAGATACCAAATAAGCCAGACTGTGGCAGCGTGGTGGTAGTATGTGCCGAGCATGCACGATGCTCTGGCTTCAATTCTTAGCACCAAAAAGGAAAGAAGGACCAGGAAGATGGCTCAGTAGAATAAGCACTTCCCTGGCAAGCACAAGGGTCTGGGTTCAATCCCCAGTTCTTTTTTTTTTTTGGCGGTACC